AAGTTATTGCTGCAGATTGAGGATGAGGAGGAGCATATGTCTTGTGTTCCTCATTGTAGTGCAGTAAGTAGTATTATGTATGCTATAGTATGCACTAAGCCTGATATCTGTGAGTGTAGTTAGCCGTACATGAAGCATCTTGATAAAACTCATTGGGAAGTTGTGAAGTGGATCCTCGGATATTTGAAGGGGACAACAGATGTTGGTATAGTGTACTAGAGGGACATTAATGGCAACGAGACCACTGGTTTTGTGGATTCGGATCACGCCGGTGACTTAGATGAGTGCAGGTCTTTAGCAGAGTACGTATTTACGCTTGCAGGTGGTGCAGTGAGTTGGAAGCCATCCTTACAAGACCACTTTGCATTGTCTTCGACCAAGGCAAAGTACATGGCAATGACCTTTATAGCGAAGGAAGCGATATGGTTACGAGATTTGCTCTCGTGGGTTAGATCAGAAAAATATTGATATACATTGTGATAATCAAGGTGCGATACATCTAGCATATAATTCGGTTTATCATGGGTGAACAAAACATATAGACACAAGGTACTACTTCATTTGAGATGTCATAGCGAAAGGTAAAGTTGTTGTGAGAAAGATCGCTACATCGGAAAATCCGACAGACATGATGATGAAGTCTGTTCCTTTGGCGGAGCTCAAGCTTTCAATTGGCGTCTCTAGAGAGTGAGCGATTATCGGGGCGTTGGGAGAGCAGCATGGATGATAGGTACTATGACTTGGCTTCAAATATCAAGTCAAGATGGAGAATTGTTAAAATTATGTCTCGAGTTTAAGCATTTACGAGACCCAACCCGAATTAAATGAGGTGGATCGGAATTCTTGAACAATTGCATACTGGTCAAGGAGTGAACTTTTATGTTGGCCACAGAGAAGAGAGTTCTTTGATCGCACAAAAAAGGAGTTGTTCCCTTCCACTAAAAGACAAAATAAGGGGTACATTTTATTTTAATATATAAAAGGGGGAAAATGAGAAAAAAAGAAAGAAAGAAAACAAAGCAAAATATAGGGTTTTCTATTCTTTAGTCCCTCATGAGAAAAAGCCTGGTGGTCCATTCTTGGAGGGAAGCCCACAGGAGGAGCAAGAAAGGAGAATTCGTGGGTCTTCTCTCTCGGCTCTACTCTTGAAAAATGTAGACGCGCAGTGAAGAGTCCTTCATCAGTGAACAGTGGCCGCACGAAGAACAAGAACAGTGAAGGATGCCGTGAGTTCTCTTCAAGAAGCTGGGGCCGCACACGACGTTTGTGAATTTTGTGCTGTGATTTCTTTTATCCAAATGAGTTATTTATTTGTAAACATTTAGGGTTTGGGTTTAATGTAGGTATGGAAAATACTCAAGTGTTGTGATTGTAAACTTGGATTCTTCGATTATTAGTAGATTATTTGCTGCTGACTTTCCTCGTAGACGTAGGTATCAATATATCGGACCGAACAACGTAAATTTTGGGTGTCATAATCGTTCCTTGTTATTTCTCTGATAATTTTTGCAAGATTCGGGTAAGTTTCCATGCTCATTAATATTACAACAAAGTGAATGGCTATAAATGATGGTGGTGAGTAATGAATGACCAAAACATGATAATGAGCTATGATAAGATGCAAAAATAATTAGGATGAATCCCCGCTTCAAGAAGAGGACACGACAGAAATACTTGGCCGAAACCCATAAATACTACACTTTGAGCCTTTCTAATCCGTTCATTTCAAATCCTAAGCTAGCCCAACATTTCGTTCTTAAACCTTTGGACTAGTTGGTAATCACGCACTCGCGAAAGCATTTTTGCCTAGCAAATTATAGCCAATGATGAGTGTTTCGACAATTTGAGCGACGAAAGTATTGAAGAACTTATCTTAGTCACAAAAATAAAATTTACGGACTGCTGAGCGTATTTTGTGATGTGTGAAGGTAGAACTCTTTCAATGATGGGGCAAAACCAGAGAAAAGCTCGAATCCTGGCTAAATAATTCGGGAAAATTATCTAAAAAATCCTAAACCTATTGCACTTTTACCAATTCAGTCTTAAAACTTTTAAGTTTGTCAATTGAGATCTAAACCTTTTCATTTCTTGCCAATTAAGTCCATCCGGCCAATTTTGGCCGATCGGAGCCGATGTGGACACTGGCCGGCGTCGACCGTCCGGCAAAGGCTGACGTGGCAAATTTTTTATAATATTTTAATATTTTTTTCGATTTTATTTCTGGTCTTCTTCTCTCTGGCTAGTCGCCTGACCGGTTAGAGGCGAGGGTCAGCGAGTTTGACCTCGCCGGCCTCTAGCGAAGCTCGCTCCTGCCGGCCATTGGCGAGGGTGAGCCTTGTTAGCCCCTGGCTAGGCGAGGTCGAATCTCGCCCAGCAATGGCGAGATCGCTGGGCGAGGTCGGTCTCGCTAGATCTAGGCGAGGTCGAGCCTCGCCGGCCCTTGGCCTCGCCCAGCGACGGCGAGGTCGGCCTTGCCATGGCTGGGCGAGGCCAAGCAAGGCCGACCTCGCCGTCACTGGGCGAGGCTAAGGGCCGACGAGGCCCGACCTCGCCCAAATCTAGCTAGGGTGACCTCGCTGCGAGATCGGCCTTGCCGTCATTGGGTGAGGTTCAACCTCGCCTAGCTAGGGGCCGGCAGAGACGAGCTTAGCCAGAGGCCGGCAAGGTCGAACTCACCAGCTTTCGCCTTTGGCCGGTTCGACGATCGACCAAAGGGAAGAAGACTAGAAAAAAAAAAGGAGAAAAAATATCAAAATATTATAAAAGATTGCCACGTCAACGTTTGCTGGCCGGCCAACATCCACATTAGCTCCGGGCAGCTAAAATTGGCCGAATGGACTCAATTGGCAAGAAGTGAAAAAGTTTATGATTCAATTGGCAAACTTAAAAGGTTTAGGACTGGATTGGCAAAAGTGCAATAGGTTTAGGACTTTTTGGACAATTTTCCCAAATAATTCGATTGCTGACTAAGTGAATCCTTCACTTACTACATGTTTGATTGAATGACTATCGACTAAACTTGAAGAGGAGATGACTAATGCATAGATTACATATCTTACTAATGTTGATTTAATTACCGAATGATATGCTAATTTTTGCATAGCTTGCATGTCTAATTAATGTTGAGTTGATAATTGAATGATGTATGGCGTGTTCTAACCATAAGACATAACCCTCTTGTCTGTGTTCGTGTTCAACCCAAGCTTTGGAGTTCCAGCTTGATGGCTATTGGCTAGGCACTCGCCTGGAATGAGTCGGGTGCTCGGCAAATGACCCGAGAGCATGAGCTTTCCAGGCTCCTGCCCGAGTGCCCAGCCCAAAGGTGGCCGGGCACCCGTCACCTTGCCTGGCTTACGGTCTGCAGCCTGGGCTTTTGTGCTCGGCTGCTCGGGCCGCTTCAGACACTCCCCTGACGCATCCTTGGACCTATTCCTCATCTCCGGGCTCGATCCAACTCCGATTGTGGCAAGAAATCGAGCCACAAAACAACACCCGACGACCCATAACCCGAAAACCGAGTCTAAGGAAGTCAATCATAATCAAGTCCTGGATCGGATGATCATAAAGTTCTCAATAGATTACTGTCCTGGGTCTAGGTAAAGAACACCTCTCCTGCATTAAGACATTGAATTTGTCGGGTTCCTTATCGACTTTGGAATAGGCTGATGTTGACTCCGAATATTTATACCCGCGAAACTTATTCTCGCATCGGGACACGGTTTGGATTTCGGAGAGTCCGTGTAAGTCTGGACCCAATTCTACCAAAAGGGAACCCATTCCCCGACATTGCGAATCCAATGACGAACCCACGTTCATTTTGATGCGTTACCTTCGTTGAACTCTCAATCCATCACTCCCATCCTCCGAAGAATCTTTCATTGAAATCTCTTTTTTGTCCGGAATTCCACTCGAATCTAATGCTAAAAGTCTTGATTCGTTGACATTCACCAAAACACTTACTTGCTGGTTTGAGTAAACTGTTGCTTACTTCTTCATTGTACTTAATCTTTTGTGATAATGTTAGTGTAAAAAATCCACTCAAATGCTTAGCTTTTAACCTTTGCGTTAAACTATGCACATATCGACTTAAAATGTTAATACTACAAAAAACCCAAATTGGTACAAATATCACAAATTTATCACAAATTAATTTTGGGTCACCAAAAGCTCCAAACCGATATACTTATGACAAATTTACCAAAAACTAATATTTTATTTACCAAAAGCTCTAAACTGATAAACCTGTGATGAATTTACCCCAATTTGATATGGATTTTCACGTTGACTTGTCATATCAATTGAGTTATTACCATGTGTCATCTAATTCAGTAATTTCAAAATTTGATAGAAGCTAATGGATGGTAAATATGTCACGAGTATACCAGTTAGGTTTTTGGTGACCCAAAAATTAATCTGGGCTAAAATTGTCACAAGTGTACCAATTTGAAGTTTTTTGTGATATTAATCATAATTTAAATGCAATTTCCAACCGAATTCTATTTGTCATGCTTCACTTGTATTCCCTATTAAGAATTTTGTATTTAATGTTTGAATCTTACTCGGTTTTTTGGGGAGGTCACGCCACGAACTTATATGTATAGATTCGTTAGTACTTAAAAGTTGATGATTTGCCTTATATGAAAAGGAGGACTTACTCTAGTGGTCGAGAAATTAAACTTGCCGTGGAATAAAGATGTGAGGTTGTAAACTTTCGTAGGAATCAAACCCAAAAAATGCAATTCAAATTGTCATGACAACAACCAGAACAAAGTGTCCTACTTTTGCTCATCATTTAACTCAGAGAATCAGCCGACCTCTACTTTCTATCACATATGCTTGCGTCCAGCATGAACAAATTCCTCAAGTGGGTTTACACCAAAAATACAAAAAGAATGTCAAGTGGCCATGTTTGTCACATATCTCTCTCCCGTAAGGAATAAAGTTAAAGCATGTCTCTTAAAGAAATCTCCACAAACGTATGTCTATAAAAGAAGAAACTTCGGAACGAAACCATCATATTTCCGACTAACTTGTGCTTTCCTAAGTTCTTGACATTCTTTATAGCTACTCCCTGAAAATGTCAAGATTCAGGCTCGATCTCCAATACTCTCTATCAAAAAGACCATCGTTCAAGCTAGGCAAACGGAGCCTATCCAAGGAAACTAGACAGAGACCTGCCGACCCGCCGAGGATTTATCGTCCTAACACTGAGGAAATGAGACGGGTGTTTGATAAGTTCGATGCCAACAGAGATGGGAAGATCTCGAAGGAGGAGTACAAGTTGGCGGTGGGGGTCCTGGGCCGGGGAATCAGCGATCATGAAGTGACCGAGGCGTTCCGGGTGATGGATGCCGATAAGGACGGGTTCGTGGACTTCAAGGAGTTTCTAGAGGTGCACGGCTCGGGGGGCGGGATAAAGAGCTGTGACATTGAGGGCGCGTTCCGAGCGTACGACCTGGATGGGAACGGGAGGATCAGCGCGGAGGAGCTGTGGGAGGTGATGAGGAGCTTGGGCGAGAAGTGCAGCTTGGAGGCTTGCAAGAATATGGTCCGCGGGGTGGATGCCAATGGCGACGGAAGCGTCGACATGGATGAGTTCATGAACATGATGACTCGTACCTTGAAGCTGGGCTAAGTAAATTGAGGAGCGATCAAGGTTTATAGTTTTATTTTTCAAATGAAACATGTACGGATTGTCAACCGGACATACGAAGGATCAAAAGTATGTGAACTTATAACCATATCGTGGTTAATTTGGTTACATGTTAGGTTCATGTGCTTCTGTTGTATGGACTCAAGATACCCATGATTGACCAATAAAACGTTCCAGTTGATGAGATACTTTTATTAGGTGGTCAGTAATCGCGATTCCGATCGTAGTATCGCATGATTTTATGAGCAAAAATCATGAGCATCGCGCTCAATTGCTGAAAAATCATTTGCTATATGAGGAAATCGGATGAATCACAAGTTAACCTTAAATTCATCGAACTTGAGAATTGACTCTTTCTTTTTTCAATAACAAGGCGGGAGGAGCAAACGACACTAGGTGTTATCATAGGGTTTTGCACTCATTACAGAATGTCCGGATTGAATCATAATTGTTGGTCGCGATAAAACGACACCCAATATCACGATAGCTAGAATCTAGAACACGATAATCGAGTAAAAGAAGTTCGAGTAAAAGAAGTTTGCGCACCTGATTTGGAATCCATTGTTTCTTGAATGCAGAATAGCGACGATTCTCAGCGCAAGTCTTCTCCTCTATCACCTATTATATCACTAGCTCAATAAGATTGCCTCTCATAGATAGAGTTTGCTCCTTATGTGAGATATGTGTGCGTTAGGGTTAGAAGAGGGACTTGAGCTCTATTTATAGAGTTATAAATCAGGCCCTCTCATCACGGGCCGGACCTTACTTGGCCCACACTAACTAGTCCTATATTAGACTAATTAAGAAACTTTATATTTGACCTTATTAGACCAAGCCCGTAAAACGGTTAATTACAATCTCAATTAATGTAGTTCATATCAGAAAAACTCTTACATTCTCTCACTTAGGCTATATTAATTGAAATTGTACTGTATGTGTGCACTTTTATGTTGGTCTAGATATAATTCTTAATAGTCAATCCGATCCCATAAAGTCTCAAATACCGAATCATGGCGGTAACTGCATGTAAACACATAGAGCCTTCCATGGTCACAAATGCTTTTAACTTTACTGATATGGATTCAATATGATGGTGCAGCAATTAGATAACACCTCAAAAAGAGTAATATCTTATGTATCATCCCCTTGTTAGTCCATATTCTCTTTCCTTAAGTGTCACAAAAAACCAGATATATCACTAGAGAATATCTTTGTAATTCCGAAGAACCTACATATGTCTTATCATTATAGTTAACTTTACTTTATATGTAACAAGACATATCCTTAAGGCTAATAATTGGATGCCTCTAGCCTTTACTCAAGGTTTACATAATACCTTGAGATTTTTACCGAATATATGTATTCAACATAATAACAATGCATTCATAAACACCTTATTGGTATGTAAATGAGTTGATACATATTAAAAATGTCACTAAAAACACACATGTAAACTTTATTAGAGCAAAAATAAAATAGCTCCCACTAAATAACATCATCCCATCATGCTCCTTAGCCCATGTTAATTACATGTCATTCCAACACACAAGGGCAAAGACCTTTAGTTGGCAGATCTGCAACCATATCATCTGTGAGAAAATGCTCTACTGTAATGTCATCATTCTGAACTATTTCCTTTATGGTCAAAAACATGACCGCTTTATACTTAGACCCTTTGAGACCTCTGTTGTTGTTGATACACAACACTGCAAAGTTATTGTTACAATACAACCGTATGGGTTTATCCATAAAATCAAATACAGTCAACTCTCTAATGAGGTTCCAAAGCCAAATTGCCTGAGTAGCTGTAGAAAAGCATGTTATAAACTCCGCTTGCATGGTAGAAGATGATATAGTTTTCTGTTTCTCGCTTTTCTATGATACTGCATCTCTTGCTAACATAAAGATGTAGCCTATTGTTGACTTTAATTCATCCTGACAACCAGCAAAATCTGCATTCGAATACCCTACTAGCTGTAGGTCTTGAACATGTTTGTAAATCAGTATATAGTCTCTCGTTCTCTTTAAGTACCTCAAAACCTTCTTGGCAACAATCCAGTGATCGTGTCTTGGATTTGACTGAAATCTGCCTAAAAGTCTTGTTGCAAAAACAATATTTGATCTGGTGCATACTTGAGCATACATAATATTACTAAGTGCACTAACGTAAGTTACATCCTTCATTTGGGCTTTCATAATATTTGAATTAGGACTTTGTGATAGACTCAGTTTATCACCCTCATTGACAGGGACAATTCTTGGATTGCAATCTTGCATACCGAATCTTTCCAAAATACAATCAACATATGCCCTCTGAGATAAACCCAATAAACGGCTAGAACGATCCCTATGGATCTCAATGTCAAGTACAAAAGACACCTCACCAAGATCCTTCGTGTTAAAATTATTTGACAACATTCTCTCTGTTTCATGTAACAATCCAAGATCACTGCTCGCAAGTAAGATATCGTCTACATAGAGTACGAGAAAAATAAATTTCCTCCTACTAACCTTGCGGTATATACACTGATCTAGTTTGTTCTCAACAAAACCAAAAGAAGTGACAACAATATGAAACTTTAAGTGCCATTATCTAGAAGCTTGCTTAAGACCATAAATTGACTTTTTCAGTCTACACACAAGCTTAACTGAATCATCTGTTGCAAAGCCTTCGGGTTGCTCCATATAAACCTCTTGATCAAGGTTTCCATTCATAAAAGCAGTTTTAACATCCATTTGGTGTAACTCCATATCGAAATGAGCTACTAAAGCCATGATTATCCTGAAAGAATCTTTAGAAGAGACCGGAGAAAAAGTTGCCTCATAGTCAATTCTTTCTCTCTAAGTGAAACCTTTAGCTACAAGTCTGACTTTGAACTTCTCAATTTTTCCTTTGGAGTCCTTTTTATTCTTGTACACCCATTTGCAGCCGATAGGTTTATAACCTTGAGGCAATTCAACAAGCTCCCAAACACCATTATATTTCATAAACTGCATCACATCTTTCATTGCATCTAACCACAAATCTGACTGAGCACAAGAAATAGCATCTACATAAGTCACTGGGTGGGTCAATTACACAGCCGATATCGTATTCATGCTCTCCCAGATAGACTATATATTCTGGTGGTATAGCTGATCGTCTTTGCCTAATGGATCTCCTGAGTGGAGCTTCTTTAACCTCATCCTGCACCTGAAGGGCTTGAGAAACTTCATCAAGAACTACATCAAAAACAGGGTCCTAGACCACAACAGGTTCAGTCTATGGTGTAGGATGCTCCACATTTGTCTGTATAGATAGAGAAAAAGACATAGTATTCCCCACTGTCGTGACCTTCCCAAACCGGTCTCACCACCTAGGGGGTTTGGCTAATGGATTACTAAGTTAAACCTAGCTCGGGCTCTCCTAAGCCCGTACCAATTCGCGACTTAGGTTTAAGTTGTTAACGTGCAAATTAATTTCATCTAGGAGTCACCACTAATCAGTTTTTTGTGGGTCGATTAGACACCCAAATAAAGCGTGGAAGAGTTGCTTCACTTTTACGAACTAGAGATTCAATGGGTACGAGAACTTAGTTACACTAATTGACCAACTAGTGCCCTTTCGATAACTAACTTTGTTCAATCACCACCTAACGTGATCACACCAATTGTGAGTCTCAGAGTTCCATCCCTAACCAGGCTAAGGGAAGCAACAATCAATACATGAACTTAACATGCCTAATCAACCATATGCAAGGTTAAATTAAACGCGCAATTCAAAACATGTGAATTAAATAATGTGCAATCAAACATGGCATTAATCACACCAAAAGGGTAAGAAGGAGCAATTCAAAAGCCCAAATACTATTTTTTTGATTTTTGAAATTTTTAATTTTTTTATAAAAATATTAATTTTTAATCCGAAAATAGGGACTTGGGCTGGGCCTTAGGGCCCAGTCCGATTATGGCCTGCGAACAGGCCTTCTAATCGGGCCATGGACAAAAGTGGGCCCATTCTCAAGCCTACTCAAGACAAAAACAAACCCAAATAAGCCAAATTAAGCCCAAACTCATCAAAATAACACTCCAAGCCCAAAGCTCACTAAGTCTAAATGAGTCCAAAGTCCACTACTACTCTCAGCCGCTCCTTCACCGATTTTCCAAACCCAGAACTCCAACTTTTGCTTCGTGTTCTAACTACCCAGAAATTTTGACGCTACGTATCTGTTCTAAAACACCGGAACTTCGACAATAATAACAACGTCTTATGCTCGACAAGAAAGGCACTATCTCGCGCTACCAAACCAACCACCGGAGTTAGTGAGTCTTACCGTCGTCTGTAGCAAAGACCGGCCAAACACATCACGTATACAATTATATCATCAGAGAACACACAAAGGATGAAAGAACTGTTAGATGTATGCCCTAAAGTTACCATGTAATAGTTACATGTTGGGATTTAAGTTGTACTATCAATTTCATTATTTATTTAATGGCAATGATGTATTCATTCATTTGTCCAATTATTTAAATATATGAATGATTCCATAAAATCAGTTGTGACTGGACCTATTCTTGAGACGTTAAGAATATATGTGAAAGGTTCACAGTTATATTGAATCTTTAAATTGTTCAATGATCCTGTTGAGACTAGTGTGTTCTTAGCATCACCATTAAGTATTGGATACTTAAGGGAATGACAAGTCACGAGTCATTGGGTATTGTGATGCCCGAGTTAGAATACAGGTGCCTGTACCAGACAAGTTCACTGAATGTGACATGCATAAAATGATTAGCAACATGGAAGCTTTTAGCGTGGTCAAGGTCTAATCGTTCATGATCTGGTCTTGTGTAAATAATCATTAGACCTGAGGCACAGTGTTGACTTGTATGTTGGATGGCTGTGGTTCAAAGGTGTGCATATTGCTGGTTCGTTGATCCGTCTCTACACTTGATGGCCATAGTTCATTTACATACGAAGTTACACGTGTGCGCAAAATGGAATTTGTCTCGTTGTTATATGCAATGTACAATAATGATGTCCTATGCAATCTAATCTTGATACTGCATTGAAATCCTCAGCCGAAGTTGCAACTGTGAATGAACTGTTCATTTCTTGGATAAAA